GGGAGTGGGGGGAGATAAGTTGAATGTGTAGAGGGGATGGCAGCCCATGGAAGACTGAATTCAATGCTGAGGAGTTCGGACTTAAGGCTCTTGAGAGTATGGGAAACTGGAAAGACGTGACAGGACAAAATGAGGGTTGTAGGAAGAGCTGCGTTGTTGCCTGTAGTTTCTCTGCTACAAGCTGAACTGTGTTCCTCCCAACCCAAGTTCATATTTGCTTGTTTTGCTGTATTTGAAATGAACATTTGCACCCCAGAATGCAACTGTATTTGGTGATAGGGTCTTTCTAGATGTGATTAAGTTAAGGGAGGTCCTATGGATGGTTCCTAGTCCAATATGACTGGTGTCCTTATAAGTAGAGGAAATTAAGTCACAGACATGTATAGAGGGAAGACTGCATGAAGATACAGTAGAAGATGGTCATCTCCAAGCCAAGGAAAAAGGCCAAACCAAGGCCAGGCTCAGTGGCTCATGCTTGTAATCCCCGCACTTTGGGAGGCCTAGGCAGGCGGATCACTTGAGGTCAGGGGTTCAAAACCAGCCTGGCCAACATGGCAAAACCCTGTCTCTACTAAAAAAATATAAAACAATTAGCTGGGCATGGTGGCAGATGCCTGTAATACCAGCTCCTCAGGAGGCTGAGGCAAGGGAATGGCTTGAATTCAGGAGGCAGAGGTTGCAGTGAGCCAAGATCATGCCACTGTACCCCAGCCTGGCCAACAGAGTGAGACTCCATCTAAAAAAAAAAAAAAAAAAAAAGAAAAAGACACCAACCACATTGATGCCTTGATCTCAGACTTCTAGCCTTCAGAACTGTGAGAAAGTAAATTTTTGTTCTGTAAGCCACCTAGTCTGAGTTCTTTGTGATGGCAGTCCAGTCCAACCAAACTAATATGCTGTCTTTTCCCCTTCAGCCAGAGTGAGCTTTCCAAAGTGCAAAGCTGACCCCAGCTCTTCCCCACCATGAGATAAAGCCCGGTGTGGTCTGCAGGCCTTTCATCATCCGGGCCCTGCCACTTCTCTGGCCTCATCTCTCACGACACCCCAAACCCAGCCTCATGCATTAAGCTCCGGAGATATCCAGCAGATCAGTTATCTGGATAGACAGTGCCCCTTTGCACCCATTCATTTCTGCAAGGAGGGCCCTGTGGCTGACTCCTGGCCAGCTGTAAAGCCCGCTCAGACTTCACCCCTCTGTACAACCTTTGCTCACTCCTCCCTCCCCCTTGTACTCTGCGCCTCGGTCATCTGTTCTGCCAGGCTCACTGATAGAATCACCCCTGTTCATATCCCACTGTTAGAGAGTGAGTCTCTCTGAGCTTAGACTGGACAAGAAGGCACTCAATAAACTTTGGTTGAATTGAGTTGTATTTTGGATCTATAGGGTCATGGACCTGTACCCTAAGGAGAAAACAAAAGAGAGGGACCTGGTTGCAATCTGGCTCCTGCTAAGCCTAGTGTGAGCAAGTACATCTCCCGAGAGTGTTTAGCTGCTCCCCTGACATGCAGCTGGGTGTGTTTGTTGGTCGTGTACACAGCACAGCTTGTTGGTGAGAGTCTCATTTCTACAGGACAAGGACATCTCTGATCCCTACTTATGATTGCCCCATGCCTAGTATATAGTTCAGTGAAAGGCATGAAGGAGGCTTAAAGCATGCTTTGGTGTAGAGAGCAGAGACTAAGTGTATTGTCTCTTACCTCTAAGGGGTATGGGTTTGAATCATGACTGTCACTTAGCAGGTATGTGACTTTGGGGTAAGCTGCTTACCCTTGCTAAGTCCTATTTTCCTCATCTGTCAAATGAGGATAATAACATCTACCCCTTAGTTGTGTTGAGAGGATTAAATGCAATTCTATATCATCTTTCTGCCCATCTGCCTTTCTCTCTCTTTCTATCATCTCTGCGTATGTATCTTTCCATCTCTCCATCTATCATTCATCTATTACATATCTGTAATCTATCTTTATTGATCATCTATCCTTCTGTCATTCTATGTATTTATCTATTATCTACCTACCTAGCTAGCTTTTTTCTTTCTTTTTTTTTTTGAGACAGAGTCTTACTCTGTCACCTGGGCTGGAGTGCAGTACCGTGATCTCGGTTCACTGCAACTTCCACCTCCTGGGTTCAAGCAGATCTTGTGCCTCAGCCTCCTGTGAAGCTGGAACTATAGGTGCATACCCTGATGCCTGGCTAAGTTTTGCATTTTTTTTTTTTTTTTTTTTTTTAGTAGAGACAGGGTTTTGCCATGTTGGCCAGTCTGGTCTTGAACTCAGGCCTCAAGTGGTCTACCTGCCTCTGCCTCCCGAAGTGCTGAGATTACAGGTGTGAGCCACTGTACCTGGCCCCTATCTTCTACCTATCATCTATCCATCTATCACCTGTCTATCACCGATCTATCTGTCACTCTATCTATCTATCTGTCTGTCTGTCTATCTATCTATCTACCTACCTACCTACCCACCTACCTACGTACACATCTATCAGTGTCTTGCCCTGTCCCTGGCACATACCAGTGCTTGGTAGATGTCAGTTTTATAAGCTGCAAATGGAATATTTTCTTCATTTCCCCAAGCTTAAATGACAGGGCTCAGAGAGAGACGGACCTTTTCCAAGGCTATTTAGATTTTTGACCTGTGCCCCTACATCACCCACAGGCCCAGGGTAATAGCGACAATAATAATAGTGATTGTACACTCCATGGAGCGCTTGGTAGCATAAAATGCTTCTCAGCCCACCAGCCCATAATGCACACTCAGAAATTCACTCGACCTCATGGCAGGAAGAGATGATGAGAGCAGTAGCAGCAGCCGCCATGCCATCCCGAGGCCCAGCTGCTGCCCCTCTTGTCCATCACATTAAACTCTTTGCCTTGCCAGGAGGCCTGAATAGAGAAAATTCTTCCAGAGGCAAATTGAGCTTTCAAAGGTGTTTGACCTTGAGGGTCCTTTTCCAGGGCTTGCAGAAAAAATGGAGGTAGCTGGGACCTGGGCGTCCTCTCTCCACCTGCCTGAGACAGCACCTGCCTGCTTTGCAGAGGTCGGCTCTCCCTGGCAGCCATCCCAGGCAGCTGGCCCCTCCCATGTGCCATCCCAGAAGGCCATGTCCTTGTTCACGGACCATTGGGTGCAGGCTGCTGCTCTCTCCTGCCTAATTGCCAGTGTCCTTGTTAACAGCCTCCCTCTGCCTTCGTGCCTCATACCCACCCGGCCCTCCTGGTACTCCCCATGAGTGACTCCCACTTGATGAACAAGATGTAAGTATACAAGTTATTAATCTTTCCACCAAGGCAATTACAGCCTCACAACATTCCTCCTTGGCCACGTTGGCTCTTCTATGACAACCTTATCAGGTTAGCAATTTCAGATCTGCATTAAGTGTTCAGAAATCAATTTTCAGCTTATTTTGTGTTGCAAAGTTTGCCATGCCTGAAACCGCACTGCTAATTGAACAAGAGCAATTGATGTTTTAGCAGTAATTAAAGATGGTAATTATGACCAAATCTCCCCCATGGCCCTGCCGTGTTTGCTTTTGGACCTGTCAGAAGAGAGGGTGGGCCAAATCAATCTTAATAAAGTTGGCGCTTCAGAAGTCTCCCCAGAAATGGTGTTGAACTCAGGGTGGGGACAAGGAAGCCATGAGGGAAAACGGGAATGGCATGTTTGGGGCTGTGAGGTGACTGGTCATTTGGATAGTCAGGCAGTCATCAGGGGTGGCCAGTGTGATCCTCTGAGTGCCTGGCCAGCACTGAGCTGGAAGTGGGGGGTGGGTGGGAGGAGCATTACAAAGACATAGATGAGAAAATTCTTGCCACTGAGGTGCCTACAACATATCTGAGGAGAAAAGAAGCACGTGCGTGCATGAAATAACTTCCAGATATTTGTTTCCATTCACAGACATTGCAGAGGACCTACTATGTGCTGGGTGCTAGGGGAATAAAAATAAAAGGGTATCATCTCAAATGAAACCACAAACAAGCACAAATGACTATGATATTTGTATCTTTTATCGGGGACTTGTTGCCCATCTATGCTGTGTCCTTTGAGATTCTTCAGCCTCAGAGAGGCAGCTAGAAATATGGACAGATCTCTGGACAGGGGTCTGAGGGCTCCAGGCCTAATGTTAACTGCTCTAAGCCTTGGCCTTCCCAGTGGGGACATCGATGGCCCCGTTCAACTTTGAGAGCAGGGTCTGCAGCGAGATGTAGGGGCTCATCCATTTCATATGGAACATCATAATAAGATCTGCACTGATCCCCTAAGTTCCTGTACCATGAGGTTGTTCCTGGGTTATTATTTACTCCGTGTGCCAGGAGCAGAACTTTGTGCTTGGGATGTAAAGATGGCTTTTGAGCAAAAGGCTTGTGTAAATACAAGCACGTGCTGTACTTGTAGGCAGAAGGTTAATGTATTGAGGACTCCTATAATCCCCAGACTTCCAGTGTATCATAGAGAGGTGTGCTTTGGGCTGGGCACAGTGACTCATGCCTGTAATCCCAGGACTTTGGGAGGCTGAGGTGGGTGGATCGCTTGAGGCTACGAGTTCAAGGCCAGGGTAAGCAACATGGTGAAACCCCATCTCTACTAAAAATACAAAAATTTACTGGGCATGGTGGTGTGGGCCTGTAGTCCCAGCTACCCGGGAGGCTGAGGCACGAGAATTGCTTGAACCCAGGAGGCAGAGGTTGCAGTGAGCTGAGGTTGCACCATTGCACTCCAGCTGGGATGACAGAGTAAGACCCTGTCTCGAAATAAATAAATAATAAAAAGACATGCTTAATACATGCTTGGACTGGGCAAGCGAATGCACCATGGGTTGTGTTCCAGGAGAGGATTGCCGCCCTCTGCTGTTGTTCAGCTGTTTTACAGGGAGAACTGGAGACCTCCTTTGCAAAACAGTCTGAGGGCGGGTGCCCACTGCTCAGGGGAATGTTATGCCAGAGCTGGGAGTGCTGGCTGCCCAGCATTATAGCACCTGGAAACCACAGGGAGCCACCAACCTCAGCTGGATCATTGCCAGGCCATCTAGAGAGAGCCACCAGGTCATCCAGTGGATGTTCCCTTCTGTACTTCCACAGTGGCTAGGATGTGGTGCTGACCACAGGAGCTTTACAGTCTAGCAGGAAGAACGCCCAGTATGATGTCACAATAGAGTTATAGGGTTTAAAGGAGCAGTGGAGGAGGGCCTGGGTGGGTAAGAGGATTCCTGGAAGCTGTGCCTTTAAGGCTAAGTAGAAGTTGAGTCGGTTGAGGTTGGGGGGAATCCCACTCTCTCAGAAGGGCACAGCGTGAGCACGGGCATGGAGAGCTTACGTGTTGTGGCGTGTTGTGGGAGCCACTCAAGTGCAGAGGCGGAGGTGGGAGGTGTGCGAGAAGAGTTTGGAGAGGGAGACGGGGACCTCATCAGGGCGTGTGAGACATGCCAAGCCATCTGGAGACAGGGAAGCGGGAGCCACTCTGGGGGTCACATGGAAGGGGTCAGGTGTGCCTTTGGGATAGTTCATGCTGACAACTGTGTGGGTGCAGGGCAGGGACAGATGTAGCAGCGAGGGCTCAGGGACACTGCCTGGCAGCCGCTCATAGCATGATTCTTGGCTCTTTATAGAAAGGCTAGAAAGATTCCCTGGACAAACGCTCTCCCAGCCTTTGTATCTGGTCACATGCAGAGGGTTGAGGCAATTAACCAGAGAGCCTGGTCCACGGCCCAATGATCCCCACACCTCCCATATTCAAGCCTCTGTCGATGAGTTAGGAAGCAGCAGATACAGGGTGATGGCCGCCTGCATAGCAGTTATGTTGGGCAATGTTGTGAAGTAGAGTTTCCCAGAGATGAGAGAAAGATGGACAAGATTCACAGAAGTACCCACGAGCCCCTGCCTGACATGTGGCCTGTTGGCCACAGGTATGTTTCAAAGCATGGCTGTCATTCACCATTTACACACTCACATAGACCTACCAAAATGTGCATACATGTAGATGGACCTTCCTGAGTCTTCACACACTGAGCTACAGAGGCCCATACGTTTATACACACGGTGATGTGCACAGAGAAGCCGAAAGTCATGTATTTCTGCATGCCTATGAAATGTGGCCCAGGAACATGCTGTTTGCCTCCACACCCAGGCACCCAGGATGGATATGTGTGCACGCTCTCAGTGCTGATGGGAATGTTTGCCTCTGGTGCAGGTGGCATCAGTTAAAAAAAACAAGGTAATTTGGGGGCCAGACTGGTCTTCAGTCCAGGGGAGGAGGTGGGATGGGAGTTGGGAGTGAGTGCAGAGGTCAGGGTGAGAGAGAAGCTGGGGTTGGAGCCTTTGGCTTTCTCTATGGATCTGCACCATTCTTCCCATCGCCTGGGCTTGTGGGGGTGTTTATGCCCCTCAGATGGGTCTACATGGTCTTCAGGGTCAGACCGACGTGTTCTGACAGCCAAGAAAGGGCTGGCAGCTCTAATGGGAAGACATTGGTTCCATCTCCACAACGATGCAAAAGTGAGTCAGAGAGTTTTCAGGTTTAGAGTTCATTTTGCCCAATCCCTGCTTGCACTGTCTAGTGAGTAGAGAGAGGCCTAGAGGTGAACATGACTTCCCAAGGTCCCACTGAAAGCCGTGTAAAGATGCACTTCTGTAACCCTGAGGCACCCTCATTCACAAACCATACATCATGGCTAAGGCTCTGTGGGGTCTATGCAGCCCAGGCTTGGAGGTTTTATCTGCCAGCCTAAGCTGGATTATGAGACTACAGTTCTGGTAAGAGGTCAAGGCTGGAATGAAAATTTGAGTGTCTTAGAAAAAAAAGAGAAGAGCTCCAAATGAACTTATGCAGGAAGTGAATCTAGCAGCAGGAAGGCAGCGCCAGCAGGGATCTGGAGACAGCCCCAGGATGGGGCTCAGATTTCATTGGCCAGAATCATGCCACTTAGAGCACACCTTGGTACAAACCGAGAATCTATGACCATGTGGCCCAGCCCCCTTACCATTAGACACCCCAGCCTTGCTCATCTGACACAGTGTATGTTTGGGCTCCTGCTTTGTTCATTGGTTGATTGATTGAGATAGAGTCTCACTCTATTGCCTAGGCTGGAGTTCAGTGGTATGATCTCAGCTCACTGCAACCTCTGCCTCCCATGTTCAAGCGATTCTTGTGCCTCAGCCTCCTGAGCAGCTGGAATTACAGGCACGTGCCACTACTCCCGCCTAATTTTTGTATTTTTAGTAGAGATGGGGTTTTGCCATGTTGACCAGGCGTGTCTTGAACTCCTGACTTCAGGTGATCTACCCACTTCAGTCTCCTAAAGTGCTGGGATTACAAGGTGCGAGTCACCACTCCTGGCTGAGCTCCTGCTTTAAAATATCCTGACTGGTAGCCCTCTTCTCTCTCCCCTCCATCCTGTCCCCAGAGTCATATTTACCTTCCTGGTCAGGACCCTTTCCGAGAGTGACCTGGCCCCACCCCGCTGCCCGGCCCAGCTGCCTGTGATAGCTTAAGCCTCTTTCCTTTGGTACCATTTCAGGAAAAGAGAGAACAGCTGGTCATGTCTTCCTGGCGTTTTCTGGTGCTAATCCTCCAGGCTGGTCCAACTTACAGACATAAACCTTGCAAGTACTTTCTAACCTCTGACTTCTTTAGAAAACAGCCTCAGAGGAGAAGAAACGGGGGGTAGTGGGAGTTTCAACCAGAGGGCTGGTTTCTCAATCTTAGCCCTGAAGCTGATTTTGTCTGTACCTCACTGACACCCTGTTACCCTTTCCTGACGGGCTGCTGTGGCAAGACCATGTGAAGCCCATTAAGGCAGAGGTGGGAGGGTGGGAGGCCAGGCACCCTAGACCAGAGGTGGGGCTGGCTGCCCGAGATGTGCCCAGAACCCCTGAGTTCGGTGCCTGCGGAGCCTCTTATGCCACCTGGGACCCCACATTCTCCTTACCTTCTCCCTCTCAGCCAGCCTGTGTTCCCGAAGCTCTTTTCCTGGATGGGTGATTGATTAATTGATTTACATATTTATTAAAATGTATTTTAGTAGCGTCTTTGCCTTTGATGCCAAATCTCATTTCCTATTGTGGGGCTGCTGACAGCCGGCATTGTAAATGCAAAGACACTTTACAAAACAATTTAAATAGCAATTGCCACCAGCTTAAAAATGAGCAAAACAGACAAATAAAATACTGATGAGGAAATTGGCAGCTTCAGGACAAGGAGGGCCAGGGGTTTCTAAGCAGCCAGCAGCTTTGGGTGCAGGGACGGTAAAGGCCGTGTAATTGTCTCTTTGGAATGGCCCAGATTTGAGGTGTGGATGAAGTGAGGTTAACAGCCGCTGCTCTTCCAGCAAAAGGGGCTTTGCCCTTAAAGGGGACCTGTCCTCGGGGCGCTTTTCTGAGCAGAGGTTTATGGATGAGTGGGGCAGTCAGGGTGTGGGCCCTCGATCTTTGCCCTGCAGTCTATACTTGCGAGCCTGTGTCTGCCTGCTCTGAGGAGCACTGTGGGCACTGAGGCTGGCCTGAAGAGCTGGGACACCAGCAGGCAGCAGAGTGAGAAAACTGTGGTCCGGAAATCTGGTTTTTGGATTCTGGCCTCAGCCTGGCCCAGCTGCGAACCTTGGGCAGGCCACATTTTCCCTCTGGGTCTCTGCTTCCTGTGTCCAGTGTACTGGGTAGAAACCTAGAAGCACTAGCCGAAGCCACTGGAGACCTGACATCCTGTCCTGCTTGTAGCTTCCTAGCTGTGTGACTTCCAGAAGGTTAAACTCCCTCTCTGGGCCTTATCTGTAGCATGAGAGTGAGGGATGTGATGCTTCATGAATCTTTTTTTTTTTTTTCCCTTAAAATCTGTGATATGGCAGGGTCCTGGGATCCTGTGTGGTCCCACTGGTGGCCTGATTGTAGGGAGGGAGGGCAGGGAAGTTGAGGGTATGCAGTGGCGGAGGAACCTGCAGAACAGGAGTCCAGAGCCAAGCCAGGTTTTGAAGCAGGGGCTGATCACTCTGTCCCTGAGAAAGCGCAGAGCCAAAAGCTGTCAGAAGATGGGAAACATCCCCACAAGCGAGCGGGAGTTTGCTCGTCGTCCTCGACCTCACGTGCACACTGTCCTCCGGTTGCCTCCCACCTCCCTGGCTGTGCCTTCCCAGTCTCTCCGGCTGCACTTCTGCCCCATCCTGGGGCTGTCCCTCCAGATCCCTGCTGGCATTGCCTTTCTGCTGCTAGATTCACTTCCTGCATGAGTTCATTTGTAGCTCTTCTCTTTTTTTTCTAAGACACTCAAATTTTCATTCCAGCCTTGACCTCTTACCAGAACTGTAGTCTCATAAATCCAGCACCCTGCAGGACATCTCTCCTTAAATGTCTTGCTGTCACCATAAAATGTCTAGAACCAAATTCAGCATCTTCTCTCACAAACCACTGCTCCTCCCTCCACCCCCGGCATTCTGTTTTTCAGGCATTCTTCTCCTTTAGTTCCCTGTATCTAGACGGTTATCACAAGAAACCTTTATGTGCTATTTACAGTTGTCAAGGTGGCTTTCTGTGCATGACCACATTGCTTTTTGCAAGTGCGTTCTGAGCAGCTGTTATATGCCAGGCACAGGACCGAGGAGTGGACAAAGGCAGCACAGGCTCCTGCCCTCATGGGGCTTAGGCTCTGGAGGTCGCTCTCGTTGCCTCAGGCCTCTGACGGCACCATCGTCCCTTGCAGAAACGTGGCTTTGCTTCTCTTGGGAAGCTTCTCAAGACTTAGTTCAGACCACATGATCCAGATTTTTTGGTCAAAAAGGTGGAGAGCACCTGGTGTGACCATGGCACTGTGTTAAATGCTGAGGGTATGGAGATAGGCCCCTACCCTTACGGAACTTGCAAACTGCAGGCACGATGTTTCCACGGAGGTTACACAGCAAACCAAAACCACAGTGCAGGATATTCACAAGGTGGTATTTCATTCATTTGTCCATTCATTTAACAAACATTTATTGAAGACCCAAACTGTGTTAGACACTGTGCTGGGTGCACCAAATGCAGGGATCAGAGAAATAGTCCCTGCCTTTGAGGAGCACATGCTCTGGTGGAGGAGAAAGGGGCATGAACAGAGATGTTCACATGGTGTGGACATTGGAAGTGTGGGATG